TTTGAGTTGGCCACAGCCAGGGAGCGGCCAGCCTTGCGCGAATGGCAGTCGTCCACCACACTGGCGTCCTTATCCACATTGCCCACTGCTTGCGCTCGACCAAGGACGTCCTCTCGCTGCTGCAGGCGCTGCCACGTCATGCGCTCGACGCGCCATTGGCTGCGCTACTGACGCTCCTGACAACGCCCGAGACCTTGCGCGTCGTCGAGAGGAGCTGGCCGTGGGCCTCGATCGAAGAGTATGGTCATGATGACATAGCGACGGTCTTCGCTGCGCTGCCGATCTTTCGCTCGGTTCAAATCAACTGCCTCCACGCGTTTTGGGCCGCGTCTGAACCACATCGGCCTGCCACTTGGGGCCACGAAGTCGAGTTCATTCCAAGCGATGGATCGATATCCAGGAACAGGAATGTGAGCGCGCTCCTGCGCCTTCTCCGTCTCTGCCCCAACCTCCACGCGATCGTGGTACACATCGACAGGTCGGACCCGGCTCTCACGGCCAGTATTCTGCAAGCGGCGCAGCACGTCAAGCGCATTCATTTTGTGACGCCCGACCAGACCGAGTACAACTGCGGAAACTGGCGACCGCTCTTTGCCGAGTGGCTCGCGTCCGGGCATGCGACGCACCTCGGCATTATCGGACTCACCTGCGATGACAACGTCGGCTTTGCGCGGGCGATCGCCGCCGCCACGTCGCTCACAAGCCTTCAGCTTGCCGTTGCCAGTGGTGTCCTGCAAGGCTTGGTTGACGTGGCCACCCCGCTAAAGGCCATCACGAAGCTACGACTTGCGGCGCCCAACGACAGTATGAGCCTCGAGCCGTTTGTCACCAACTTGATCGATCTCTCGGCGCTTCAAGTCTTTGACCTCTCGTCGGATAACGAACTCGACTTGACGTTTGGTCTGGCGCTACTGCCGCGTCTCGGCAAGCTTAAAGAGCTCGAGCTCACGCACTGTAACCTGCGTGCCGTGCCGGCGTTGCCAGAGGCGCCGGCGCATCTGCGGCTGCTGGACGTGTCGTATTCGAGCATGAACGACGAGACGTGCCTCGGTCTTCTCCATTGGGCGTCGCAGTCGCCGTGCCTCGACACAATTTGGCTCAAGATGTGCGACACGGTGAGTCGCAAACCCGTACTGTTTGCTAGCTACCTTCGACGCTGGATCACCGGCAGTGTCACGTTTGTCGCCCTCGACCGCTGCGAATTGGACGAGAAGAGCGTCATTGCCATTGCCACCGCGCTCTGCGACGCTTGCCGATCCTCGTCGACGTTTTCGCTGCGTCTGGATTTCGGAACCTTGGATGTGGACGCGTACGACGCGCTTTTCGAGGCACTCGCCACGTGCAATGGCGTCAAAATCGAAGTGTATCAACGCTACCCTCCCAGGCATACAAGAATCGCCAAGCGTGCGTCAAAGCTGCATCTACGACTTGAAGTCATCGACGCGCGTAGAATTATCGTCTACAGCCCCTAAAAAGGGGTCCTAGTAATCGATATGCCGGTAAAGCCGACGCCGCACGCAGCGGCAGAGAGCCAGGAGACGATTGGACTTGGTGGAGGCATCCGCTCGAATATGTATATGCCGCGGCATGGAAACAGGGCCACACGTCGTATTCGTATTGCCACCGCGACGTTGCCATTGCAGTTCAACGCATGCAGGACTGCCACGTGTATCCAATCACATCGCACCGTTACTTATGCGCGAGTCCCTGTTCAGCAATTCACATGGAAGTGGCCGTGCCATGCGCCGATGGCCGTCGTCCACGCCGGCGTCTTAAGCAACATCGTGCAGTACGTTAGCTCGAGCCACGACGTGCTCTCGCTGCTCGACGCGCTGCCGCGGGATGCGCTCGACACGCCACTACGCACGCTCCAGACGCTCGTGTCGCCCCCCGTGGCCGCGCCATGGCCACACCTCTGCGTGGATGATTTGGATTGTCAACACACGTTGACGCTGCTCGCAGCGCTATCGACCTTTTGCTCGGTGTCCATTGAGAATCTTTACAAGCTAACCGAAGTGCTTCGGGACGCGAGTAGCGAGCCCGAGAGCGACGCTCTGTGCGCCGCAACCATCGATTTTGCCAGGAAATGGGGCCACAAGGTCACGCACATTGCTGCGTGGTGGTGGCCGGAAGAATATACGGCCGATACGATCGCGACCATTATTCGACATTGCACGGGCCTGAACTCGATCACCGTCTGCTCGATGGGGTTGGACCGCCATCCACGCAGCCCAGCACGCCAAGCGCATTGTCTATGCCTCGTCGATTCTCCAAGACGTGTACGACTGCGGCGACTGGCGACATGTCTTTGGCGATTGGCTCGCATCGGCGCATGCGACCGAGCTCCGTCTTGACAACATCATGTGCGAGGACAGCGTTGGCTTTGCACGAGCGATCGCTGCCGCGACGTCACTCACGAGCCTCAAGCTTACCAACGCACCTGTCTTGCTACAAGGGCTCGTCGAGGCTGGTGTCGTGCTCCAGTACATTACACAGCTCCGTCTCGTCGTCGACCATAGCGACAGCATTTTTGCCGACGCGCTAGTCTCCAATGGGGTCAATCTCCCGGCTCTTCGCGTTCTCAAGCTCCGATCCGAAGACGACGCCGACATGACGTTCGTTCTGCGGCTATTGCCGTATCTCGTCGCGCTGGAAGTGCTCTCGTTTGAGACGTGCACGCTGTGGAGTGTGCCTGTGTTGCAAGAGGCGCCGGCGCCGCGGTACATGCGACGAAGACGATGACGTGTGTCTGGATCTCTTTGCGTGGGCCGAGCGCTCGCCGTGTCTCGAGGTTGTCAACGTCGACGCCATCGACGTGGTGTGGCGCAAGCCCGTGCTCTTTGGCCGCCAACTGCGTCGATGGATCCAAAGCGGCGTCGATCGCGTGTCCCTGGAAGACTGCGACGTGGACGACATGAGCATCACTGCCATTGCCGGTAGCCTCTGTGACGCGCGTCGGTCGCGGCCGTTTGTGCTCTACTTCCGTGGCAAACCGCTGCGCCTCAGGTGGTACTACATGCTTATTGAGGCACTGGCAACCAGCACTGGTGTCAGCATTGAAGGCAACGATTTCAGTCACGCCGACGACCGCCATGATATGGAAAATTGGGCGACACGATTCGACTTGCGACTTCATCGCGGTGGGCACAATCGATTTACTATCCATAGTCCCGTATAACCTCGTTTGGATCTATTTCATAGACGTTTTCTGTCGTTTTTTGGTGGGTTCGGGAGACTCCGTCCCGTGGTGTCGCATCTATGATACGGCGTCTCTCCTCGCCGGCGATCGACCCTGTCGTCGACATCTTGTGTCCGTCCTTTGCAAGACGAACAATCCCCGGAGATTGCTAGTACCTACGTATGCAACGTCTCTAACAACGAAGATAACGAAAACATGTTTCGAGACATGTATCCAAAGTGAGAATCCAATTTGGATTCTCGCTTCGGATACAAATCACGTGAGCGTTTCCTGTTATATTCATAACAACAACACTTTCATATGTCCTTCGCGTCTTTTGAACCCGTCCCAACAAGATACTCGGAGTAAAGAAATCACTCGTACGCAATTCAACATGGTATACAAATGACTCGGGGTGGTTTGTCCCGTCCTGGCTCCTGTAGATTCTCCGGATGCGATCGATGTGGGATTGCAGAGCCAAGGCGCAAGATGAATTGTCTGCAAACAAGGTAGTCTTAAAGCCTTTGCCTGTCGGCTATGGACCCGTGCCCTAGTTGCGTAAGGACCTTGGGCTTGTATCTAAAACATACTGCTAGCCCGTTTCTTGCTACTACACGTATTCAAGTGCGTGCACGATTGGTGCCACCATGCATCTCACTTGCACGAGGCTGCCACGCGCCGCCAATCAAATTGCAGCACGTTTCGAAAAGTTGCGATCCAAAAGTTAAAGTTTTCTGAGGTGGCCACAAATGAGCAAGCTACCTTGCGCAGTGCCGATGGCGATCGTCCAGCCCGGTGTCCTTCGGTACATCGTCCAGTGCTTGACCTCGACCAGGGACGTCTTGTCGCTGCTTCAGGCGCTGCCACGCGATGCACTCGATGCGTCGCTGGCGGCGCTTTGGACGCTCTTGTCGACACCCAGTGAGTACGAGGCCAAGCACTGGCCGCAGATCTGCATTGAAGACATCAATGGCCGATACGCACCCACCGTACTCGCCGCGCTCCCGGTGTTTCGCTCGATTCGCATCAACAATCTCGGTGATCTCGACTACGTCCTACAAGCTGCGAGCAGTAACGTCGACGACGCTCCGTTGGCGTCAGCAATTTTGCTCGCCGCCAAGTGGGGCCACAAGATCGCGATTTGTACCGTAGATCGGAGGCTCGATGGCTATTGTCTTGACGACCTCATCAACTTTTTCGGTCTTTGCACCGGCCTCGACGAAATTCTCGTGCACCCGGACGAGCTCGACCAAGCTTTTCTCGCAGCGGTCCTTCACGCGGCGCAGCACGCCACGCGGTTAGAGTTCTCATCGACCAAAGCGAGCGGGCTCGAGTGTGGCGACTGGCGACCGCTCCTTGCCGCGTGGCTTGCGTCCGGGCATGCCACGCACCTTGGTCTCGAGGCCATCTCGTTTGACGACAATGAAGGTTTGGCATATGCCATTGCCGCCGCGCCATCGCTCGATAGTCTCTCACTCGCCTACGCCAGCAGTGTGCTAAGAAGCTTCGTCCATGAAGCTGTGCCGCTGCCGCACCTAACGCAGCTACAATTGCATCTGGACGACAACGACGGCGACGATGTCTTCGCTGAGACGCTCTTGAGGGAGGGGATTGATGTCTCGGCACTTTGTGTCCTCAGTCTCGAGGCCGATTTCGAGTGGGACGGCACCTTTGTTCTGGAGCTGCTGCCTGATCTCTTGGCGCTGCAGGAGCTGTCGCTCACCGGCTGTTCACTCCAGTCGATGCCCCCTTTGCACGTGCCACGCCACCTCAAATTGCTCGAGCTGCAGGAATGCGACATGGACGATGACGTGTGCTTGGAGCTCTTGGCGTGGGCGTCGCAGGCGCCATGCCTCACGACTCTCCGATTGGTCACGATCTCGACGCCGCGGACCAACCCCGACCGCTTTGGTCGCTTTCTTCGCCAGTGGATCCGTAAAGGTGTCGGTCGCATCGAGATTGTGCACTGCGACTTGAACGAAAAGAGTGGATTCGCGATTGCGTCGGCCCTTGGCAACACGCACCGATCGTCGAATCATTTTGTACTCAAGCTGGATGGTGACAACTTGAGTCTCCAGGTGTATTACTCGCTCTTGGAGGCGCTCGCGACGTGTAGTGGCGTCACTATCAAGGGAGGCTACTATTGCTTCGCCGAGCCCAGGGATCATGTCCAGATACAACGACGGGCGACGGAGCTTCGTTTGCGAATCGAAGCCAACAAGAGAGAGTACTTTAGCTTCACGAGTCCCTCGTGATCAATACGCGAATACGATGACTAGCAGCAATCTCAAGTGCTCTCGTATAAAGAGGAGGTCTTATGAATCCCAGCTAGATGTGTGACATTGTGTCGGTGCGATGCAGACCTGTTGAAATGCGCTGAGCATATCCTGGACGCATTTACGCGTGCCGAAGGACGGTAGCCATCGCCAGATCATTCGCAGCCCGGAATAAGCTTGAAGACATCGCTCAAAGTACTCTTAGGAAGTAGTGGTTATACCCTTCGTATGCTACCTGTTGTGTCTGGCAACGATTGAACCTTGACCAAGTCTGTGCACTTCCTTCGCCCCTTTCGCCGATGCATCGAGATACAAAGCGGCGAGTGCTCCCAGCTCTGTGGCCCGCAACGCGCCTCCAATCACATTTCATCAAATCACCGTGAAACCTCAATTTGGCGTCGTCGTCCAAAGTCATGACCAAGCGGCCTTGCGTGGTGTCAATCTCGATCGTCCAACCCGGTGTACTTGTTCACATGCCCAATGCCTGGACTTGCCCAACGACGTCCTCTCGCTGCTGGAGGCAGTGGCACGTCATGCACTCGACGCGCCATTGGCTGCCCTGCGGGCGCTCTTGGTGACGCCCGATGCGTTGGCCAACGGGCAGTGTCTGCGTCCAACACTTGGACCAATGCTATATAATGACTGTGCAGTCGAGCGATTTTTGCGGCGCAGCACGCCAAGCGCATGGAATTTGCGTCGTTTGGCAAGTACAGCTGCGGTGATTGGCGCCCGCTTTTTGCCGATTGGCTCGCGTCCGGTCACGCGACGCACTCGACCATCTCGAACAATTCTCGTCCGACAACGACGATAGTTTTGGCCGAGCCATTGCAGCTGCGGCATCGCTCACGAGCCTCATAGTGACCGACGCTGACGGCGTCGTGCAAGGCGTGGTCAAAGCCGTCGTGCCGCTCCAGTGCGTCACGGAGCTGCGACTCACCCTTCCCGAGGACGACGACATTTACCCCGAGCCGTTGATGCCCAACGTGATGGATCTCTCGGCGCTTCGTATCCTCGAGCTCCCCTCGCCGTGCTATTGGGACTGCACCTTTCTTCTGGCGCCCCTGCCGCGCCTCGTGGCGCTCGAAGAGCTATTTCCGCCGCGGCCGCCATTTTTACCCCGAGCAGCAGCAAGCGGCCTTGCTTCGCGCCAATCTCGGGGCGTCCTCGTGCACATTGCGCATGGCTTGTCCTCAGCTCGCGACGTTCCCGCGCTGCTAAAGGCGCTGCCACTGGAGGCATGCACCGCGCCATTGGCGGCGCTTTAAACCCTCTTGTCGACACCGAATGCCTTGGCTGTCGAGCACTGGCCACATGTCTGCATCGAAGAGATGGATCCACGCTACACAGCTTGCCGCGCTCCCAGCGTGTTCTTCCATTCGCATCAAGAAACTCGCCAAGCTCAACCACGTTTTGCGCGCCGCCAGCCCCGACGACAGCGCCGATGGCTCGTTCCATCCGACCTTTGCATTTGCCGCCAAGTGGGGCCATACGATTTAGTCTATTGCAGGTGTGTCGTGGTCGGACCAAATCGCCAACGACGAGCTCGCCCGTCTTCTTCGCCATTGCATCCGGCTTGACAGCATCGAGATCGAGTCGGTCCATTCCAATTAGCCTTTTCCGCAGGCGTCGCGAGTGCGATGCCGTACGTCACTCATGCACCTCGTTGCCATGAACGACAAGGCATTTATGTGGTTCTCTGTCGTTGAAAATTGGCTCACCTCTGGCCGCGCCAAGCAGCTCTGGCTCGAACGCTATCGACCGACCGACGACAACCGCTTGGCTCGGTCCATTGCTATGGCCACAGCGCTCACGAGCCTCGCGTTCTGGGATGCCGATGAAGTTCTCAAAGAACTGGTGCCATGCCATTGCCCAACATTGCGGAGCTCCGCATTGACGCACGAGATAGCGCGAGCATTGAGCGCTCGTATCCACCTTGATCGCGCCTCCGCGTCCTCTCCATCTCGGTCGACAACAAAGACGACTGCTCGTTTTGTCTGACCTTGCTGCAGCGCCTCGTGGCCAAAGGCGTTGACCACAGACTCGCCACGTATGACCAATCAGATGCAAGCAAAAGCACTGATAATCCAATCAAATCGTTTCATGCCGGAATGGCCAGAACGCTTTGTCATGACTAAGCGCTCATGTCATGCGTCCATGTCGGTCGTCGATTCGGACGTCCTTATCGTCATCGTCCAGTACTTGGCGTCGCCCGATGACGTCGTCTCGCTGCTACAGGCGGTGCCACGTACCAAACTCGTCGCGCCATTGGTCGCGCTACAGACGCTCTTGACGACATCCTCAGCCTGGGAGTCCAAGAACTGGCCGCAACTCTGTATCGAAATGAAGGACGACCGCTACAGGCCGCTTATATGCGCCGCAGCACCAGCCTTTCCCTCCATTCGCATCGGGGATCTCCACATGCTGGGCAGCATGCTACCCGGCCCCAGCAACAGTCTAGACACTCAGCACGCAGCAATCATCGCGTTCGCCGCCGAGTGGGGCCACAAGATCGAGTCCATCGACGTGACAGAATGGCTCGACGGTGGTTGCATTGACGTGCTAACGCACGTCCTCCATCTCTGCACGGGTCTCGCCTCGCTCACCATCAACGTCGACACCGAGGAAATCAACCCAAGCCATTTCGCGGCTGTGGTCCACGCGGCGTCGCACGCTCGGCGCATCGACGTCTGGACCATGGATGGAAGCCTGTCTCGTTGCGGCGACTGGCGGCCGATCTTTGGGTCGTGGCTGGCGTCGGGTCATGCGACGCACCTCGGACTTACTGACGCGTTTGCCGCCGATGACGATGATGATGACGACGACGACGACGACCTCGAGGATTTCCAGGTCAAGAGATTCAACGACCCAAATGGATTTGCGCGGGCAATGACCGCTGCCACGTCGCTCACGAGCCTCAGGCTTGTGCGTTGTGACGTGCTTCTTCAAAGCCTCCTGGACACGGATGCGTCAATGCGCCACATCACGGCGCTGCATCTCGACACAAGTCGACGCGACGTGGTGGAGTGGCTTCTATCGACAAAGATCAACCTCTCGGGCCTCCGCGAGCTCGGCATCGGAAGCGACGCCCAAGACGACTACTCGTTTGTGCTGGCGCTGCTACCACGCCTCGTGTCGCTCGAGAAGCTGTCGCTCGAGGGCTGTGCGCTGCGCAGTGTGCCCAATGCTTTGCCCGAGTCGCCGCGTCATTTGAAAGCATTGGCACTCTCATTGTGTGTCGCGATGGATGACAGTACTGTTTTTCGTCTTCTCGATTGGGCTTCGCAGTCGCCGTGCCTCCAGTCCATCACGCTCGAACGCTGCACTGCGGTGGGCCGTGACGCCACCCGCGTCGAGCGGCTCGTGCGCCAATGGATCGGCGCCAACGTCCGTGACGTCACGTTCGACTTGTGCGAATTCAACGCTGCGACGGTCAATGCGTTGGCCGCGGCACTCTACGGCACACGTCGGGCGCTTCCGTTTGATCTTCGCCTCAATTGTGACAAGCTACGTCTCACGTCGTTCGAAGTGCTGTTGGAGACACTCGCCACGTGCACGGGCGTCACGTTCTACGGACACGTGTCGATTTACATCAAGCAGCACATTCGCAACCACCTTCGGTCGTTGGCAACGATACTCGGTTTGCATTACGTGGACAACGGCATATCTCATTTTCGCCTCCGCAGTCGCGTCTAGTCTTCCATCCCCGCGACTTGTACAATTGCATCTGGTAACTTCGTGGATATTACATCGAACCTTTCATCACGTTCATGTTTTAAATCGTATGGCCCCAGTTTGGTACGGCATTATTGTTAACGTTGGGGCGAGGTGGCATATAATCGGCGAGTACCCTTTAGGATGTAAGGAGAATGGGGCGAATGGATCGCTGTGGCTGCGAGAGGTGCATCCGCTGAACACGTGCCCCATGCAAATCATGCCGTTTGAAGGAGAGAACCAATCAGCATGCAGCACCGTTACCCTCTCCGGCCGCCATTTTTGCTTTGTCCCAATCATGGTCTTGCTTCGCGTCAATCTCGGTCGGCGACCCCGATGTCCTTATGCACATTGCATATGGCTTGTCCTCAGCTCACGACGTTCCTGCGCTGCTAAAGGCGCTGCCACTGAAGCACACACCGCGCCATTGGCGGCGCTTCAAACCCTCTTGTCGACACCAAATGCCTTGGTCGTCGACCGTGGTCGTATTGGACTACACACCACTTGATTTCTTGATACAAAGTGCATTGTTGGGCAGGTTCAAAGACGAGAAGAGTATATAAATGACAGGTTGCATTTGATCAAATCGACTGGGGGCTGTGGATGCAGACATGATGTTAGCTACCGCGCTCGACTCGTAGACCCGATGGTAATAGCTGTTGCGCTCGACTCGTACGCAAGTGCAGCTCGTTTGCCCACGCTTCAACTGGAGCCACTTGGTCGTAGGGCAGCAGTAATCCTTGAATCGAGACGCCCGTGCACGTGGCAAGCGCCTCCAAAAGCACCTCGTACCACTCATCGCGCAGCCTTTCGGTACTGCCACCAAAGTTGAGCTCAAACGGCGATGCCCGGTGCGCGTCACAGAGCGCGGCGGCAATGGCAATGACGCTCGGCTCGTTCAATTCGCACGACTCGAGAGTGACAGATGTGACGCCGGCTGCGATCCATCGGCGAAGATAGCGGCCGAAAAGCACAGGCTTGGAGCTCACCGTGTCGCAGTTATTGAGCCAGATAGTCTCGAGGCGCGGCGACTGCGACGCCCAATCAAATAGATCCAGACACACGCCGTCATCGATGGTGCAGAATAGTAGCGTTAGCTTCCGCAAGCGGCACGGCGTGTGTCGCAAACTGGGCATGGGTTCGAGCATGCATCTGTCGAGCGTGAGCTCTTGCAGCTTGACGAGACGCGGCAGCAGCGTGAGAGCAAAGGAATAGTCGGCTTCAAAGTTGGCCGCGAGCGTCAGCACAGAAAGCGCCGAGACATCAACGAGCGTCGACACAAACGCTCTCGAGTTTGAGGTGCCTCGCGTGACCAGACGCCAGCCACGCACCGAGAAGAGGTCGCCAATCCCCGCAGTTGTACTCGGCTTCGTCTGGCGAGAATAGAGCAACGTGTTCGGCGTGTGTCGCAGCGTGGAGGACTGCTGCGAGAAACGAAGTGTCCTGCGCACCCGAAGGGTCCAGCCTGCCGACGGGGCGGGCGTAGATCGACACAAGGCCTGTGCAAAGTCGAATGATGCGCGTGAGCGCATCGACTTGATTGGCTTTTGGCCCCAGCGTGGCGTCAAAGGACGTGATTTTGTGGCCCCACTTGGTGGCGACGTCAATGGCTGCTGCGTGCGGGGCTCTCGCGGGCGCGCTGCTGGCGTCGCGTAGCTTGTCGCTGAGCTTGCCAAAATACTTGACGTGGACCGAGCAAAACGTCGGCAGCGCTGTAAGGACCGTCGGGATGGACGGACAATCGATGTCTTCAATGCACACGTGCGGCCAGTGCTCATCGTCCAAAGCATTGGGCGTCGCCACGAGCGTCCGGAGCGCGACCAATGGCGCGTCGAGCGCACGACGTGGCAGCGCCTCGAGCAGTGAGAGGACGTCCTTAGTCAAGGCCAAGCACTGGGCGATGTGGGCGACGATGCCAGCGTGGTGGACGACCACCAACGGCGCTTTGCATGGCCGCTTGCTCATGGGAAATGGCGGCCTGCAACTTCAAAAATGATTTGACTGGATAGAATGCAACACATTCTGCATTCTGATTGGAGGTATACGTGGCAGTATCGTCGTCACCAAAGACAACGAGCTAGTGTAGGTGTTGTGCGAGTGACAATGGATCTTGTGCGAGTGCAATGGATCGCTGCCGAGGTCCGCGCCGTCACCTTCAACGTGTGCGGCTTTGACGATTTGGCCAGCATTGCTATTGCCACGGCACTCTATGGCACGCATCGGTCGATGTCGTTGGATATGTGGATCGATTGCACTGATCTCGACGTTGAGCCGTACAATGGGCTTCTCGACGCCCTCGCAACATGCAAAGGCGTCCATGTTCGCGGTAACTTTGCCCTCCGTGTCGTACCCGACGATCGCGTCCACATTCGGGCTTTGACAACCGCACTTTGTCTCCGACTCGAGAACGACGAAGGGGCCTCTCGCTTTCGCATCCCCAGTCCGCCATAGCGACAAATAAAGATTTGGGACCCCAATCAGAAAAATCTCGCTGGGATTCCAGTCATGACGCGGAATTTGCATCGTATTTTGTTCTGGCATGGCTTTGTCAATACATGTAAATATGAGTGGATGTCAGCATGACAAAGGCGCCAATACCGATGGGACGTTGACGTAATTTCCTACGGGCCGCCAGGTCTCCGGCGTCAGCTGGGCAAGTGACAGAAGAGGTACACACAACCACCGACAAGCTTAGGAAGGCGCGCAGTCAGCAAATCAACAGACACCCTCGCTGTCATAGGTCCCAGTACCCAAGATAATCACATCCCTTTTGACCGCATTGGACTCGGGTAAGGCGCGCGGCTCCCAGCGCTTCACGACACCACATGCACCTCGATGACGATGTTAAAATACCATCGACGGTAGCCGAGCCCTGAGGCTCTCTCGCGCCAGTCGTGTTGATCATGGGTTGATACGGCTCGCACTTGAACTGTCCTTTCCCCATCGATTCCCCTTTGCTTACGGGACATTGATTGTGCTTCGGATTGATGAGCAACGCCGACGTCTCAAGTCGTATATCTGGCTCTTGGGTGCGTCAAAGGTTCTAGCTCGGTCACATTCTTGTCCCGTTTCCGAGTCGTAGTGTGGGCTCGTTGCTTGCACGGACCGGCCGGTCGAGGGGGAATGTCGAGGGTAACGGTGGTACCCGACCCCTAGTCAGGACCTGAGAACGCACGGCGTCATCATATTTTCAACCACCTTCGCCACCCAGTGCTTGCGCAATAGTACAGTCCGCTGTCTTCTCTACCCGAATTATTGACATCACGTGCAACGCATCGCTAGACACCGCAACAAAAAGTCACATTCCAAAATGTAAAACAATAAAATTAAAAAGAAACGAAAAGACCAAACTCGGGTTAACGGTATAACAACAAAAGCTCGTTCCGCGAGATCATGGCATTCGACTCGAAAAGCTGTAACAAGCACGTCCACCTTAAACTACTTGTAGACAACAATCGGCAAATGACAGCAAAAAAT